ACACACACAACACACACAACACACACAACACACACAACACACACAACACACACAACACACACAACACACACACACACACACACACACACACACACACACACACACACACACACCACACACACCACACACACCACACACACCACACACACCACACACGAGAGGATGGAGGGACACGAGGAAAGTGGAAGGCTGGAAGACGTATAGGCAGGGAGTGTGGGGTGGGGGGAAGAGAGAAGCGAGCTTCTCCCACTCTCCCTCCTCCTCCTCCTCCTCCTCCTCCTCCTCCTCCTCCTCCTCCTCCTCCTCCTCCTCCTCCTCCTCCTCCTCCTCTATGTCCTCTCCTCCTCTATGTTCTCCTTATCCTCCTCTATGTCCTCCTCTCCTCCTCATCCTCGTCTTCCTCCTCCTCCTCCTCCTCCTCCTCCTCCTCCTCCTCCTCCTCCTCCTCCTCCTCAACGTCCTTCATGCTCACATGCGCCGCCCTCCTCCGCTTCCGCCGCCGCAAACCCCTGGAGAAATCCGTCTGCACCAATACCGCTACTCCCCAGACCTCTCCCGGGGTGTGTCTGGCCAGGATCTCGAAGCGAATCCAGCGGTGGCGACGAAGGCCTCCCAGGAGGCCCCACAAAAGGGAAAACGAGAAAAGCGTAGACATCCGCCGATCTGAATGTTTCAATCCGCGGCCCCAGAGGTCCTGACTCCTTCCCCGGGGGTGTTGTCTTCGTTCCGGATCCATCTCTGATGCTCCCCAGGCCTGGCAAAAAGCCCCAAACGTCGAAATCCAGGACAAACCGCGGAATTGAAACTAGCCTGACGAAGGACCCAACCATATGCAGTTGCCGGCACCGTCGTTGTATGCATCGCATTCGTTGGAGCTACCTATGGGGCCGCGAAGCGAGTGAGGGGTGTGCCAAAATGGGTGCGGTGGGCGCATGCGCGCGCTGGCGTTCGAGCCTTCGGTGGAGCTCCCTGTGGGGCCACGAAGCGTGTGAGGGGTGTGCCAAAATGAAGGAGGAGGGGAAGCGGTAGAGGAGGAGGGGAGGAGGAGGGGAGAGGAGGAGGAGGAGGAGGAGTCGCGGAGAGAAGAGGAGGGGAGGAGGAGGAGTTTCAAACCGAGGACCCAACACCACAGGATGGTTTGGGAAAAACCATATCCTCGGATGTATGTTCTTCCCAACCATCCTGTGGTGTTGGGTCCTCGTTTTGAAGAGACGGTGCCCCGCGTCTCCTTCCTTCCTCCTCCCCCTCCTTCCTCCTCCCCCGTCCTGGCTTTTGCTATCCGCATGTCTCTGTTTCGGCACACCCCTCACACGCTTCGTGGCCCCATGGGGAGCTCCACCTAAGGTCCCAATGAGGCGGAACTCGCATGGCGCCGCCGCCCCATTTTGGCACACCCCTCACACGTTTCGTGGCCCCATAGGGAGCTCCACCTAAGGTCTCAGTGGCGGAACTCGCATGGCGCCGCCGCCCCATTTTGGCACACCCCTCACACGTTTCGTGGCGCCATAGGGAACTCCACCCCAGGTCCCAGTGGCGGAACTCGCATGGCGCCGCCGCCGCCCAATTTTGGCACACCCCTCACACGTTTCGTGGCCCCATAGGGAGCTCCACCTAAGGTCCCAGTGGCAGAACTCGCATGGCGCCGCCGCCCCATTTTGGCACACCCCTCACATTTCGTGGCCCCATGGGGAGCTCCACCTAAGGTCCCAGTGGCGGAACTCGCATGGCGCCGCCGCCCCATTTTGGCACACCCCTCACACGTTTCGTGGCCCCATAGGGAGCTCCACCTGGGGTCCCAGTGGCGGAACTCGCATGGCGCCGCCGCCCCATTTTGGCACACCCCTCACACGTTCGTGGCCCCACTCCACCTAGGGTCCCAGTGGCGGAACTCGCATGGCGCCGCCGCTTTTCGCCCACACTCCCATAGGGGGAGCTCCACCTACCCGGAACTCGCATGGCGCCGCCGCCCCATTTTGGCACACCCCTCACACGTTCGTGGCCCCATAGGGAGCTCCACCTAAGGTCCCAGTGGCGGAACTCGCATGGCGCCGCCGCCCCATTTTGGCACACCCCTCACACGTTTCGTGGCCCCATGGGGAGCTCCACCTAGGGTCCCAGTGGCGGAACTCGCATGGCGCCGCCGCCCCATTTTGGCACACCCCTCACACGCTTCGTGGCCCCATGGGGAGCTCCACCTAGGGTCCCAGTGGCGGAACTCGCATGGCGCCGCCGCCCCATTTTGGCACACCCCTCACACGTTTCGTGGCCCCATAGGGAGCTCCACCTAAGGTCCCAGTGGCGGAACTCGCATGGCGCCGCCGCCCCATTTTGGCACACCCCTCACACGCGTCGTGGCCCCATGGGGGGCTCCACCGAAGGTCCCCGTGGCGGAACTCGCATGGCGCCGCCGCCCAATTTTGGCACACCCCTCACACGTTTCGTGGCCCCATAGGGAGCTCCACCTAAGGTCCCAGTGGCGGAACTCGCCTGGCGCCGCCGCCCCATTTTGGCACACCCCTCGAAGGACCAGGATGAAGGATGAGGACGAAGAGGAGGAGGAGGAGGAGGAGGAGGAGGAGGAGGAGAAGGAGGAGGAGGAGGAGGAGGAGGAGGAGGACGAGAACGCCATGCAGCTGAAACCCGATGATCGTAGACTCCGGGAGGAAAGGTTCCAGAACGGCCACATGATTGGGTCCTACTGGGACACCGTGGCGCGCTGGATGAACATGCGTGCCCAGCGGGACGCGGACGTCCTGAAGAAGCTTCTTTTCCTCGTGCAGGCAGCCGACAGGTCTGCCCCGACGATGAGCAGGAAGGACGCCGCCAAGATGATGAACTGGGCCAACCCGACGAACACCGGTGGCATGCACGGACTGCTCCCGGCGCACGTGGGCATGCGGGTCCGGCTCCTGGAGGCGCTGGACATCAAGAACGGCCTCGTCAAGGATGCCGAGGGGCAGATCGTGCACATCGTCGTGGACCCTCGAAATCGGGACGACGTAGACAAGGCCGAGAGAGACGGGGAGAAGAGGATCTATCTGAAGCACTTGCCGCC